GAGACTCCGTCTCAAAAAAAAAAAAAAAAAAAAAAAAGAAAAATACTGGTTTGATGAGAAGATAGACTTTAGTCTGTTTTAAAAATATTTGCTTAGTTTCTAACTACACTTCATTTCGTTACAATCATTACTCAGAAGGCAATCACTTTTTTTTGAATTGTACCCATAATTACCCTAACAATATTGACATAGAAGGCATCAAATATGCAAAGACTAAAAGAATTTCAATTACAAAATTCGGAGGAAAGAGGCTTAATGACATAAATATATCGATAAATTTAAGCTAGAATTAGTTCTAGGACACTTTATTGTATTTTTATGTTAAAATGATGGAGGACTAGACACCAGCTGAAATACTGTTAAAACTACTGTTTGTTTGCTAATAGGTGTTCATATTAATGAAACAAAAGATCAATAGTCTTTAAGGGTAAGACACAGCAAAACCCAAGTATCATACTTTCTATTTCTGTCCATAAACACAAATAAAAGTCAATATCCAAATGATAAGAAAATAAACACATGGTTATGTTTCAGGTTCCACAACATAAGATATTATGACATAACTCTCCTATAGTAAATTCCCATTTTTTTTCTGGAATAGCAGATTAATAGAAATGTGAATTTCCAAAAACCCAGATAATTTAGTAACTAATTTTGATTTTGACACCAGATACCATGGTGTGAAAAGCTGTAAAACCCAAATGTTCTGTGTTATTTAGCAAAGAAAGGACAAGGGAGAATGCTTTGCCCACTACTTCATGCTAGACCCAGTTCTTGCTTACTCATTCAGTTCCAATGCTCCCGAACTGTCAATCCACCCCAACTGGCCTTATCCGAGCTCTTAACTCATTTTGCATAGAGTCCAGTTTCCTTTTTGGTAACTAATTCCAAATTTTCTAGAAAACTGATTTTCTGACTTAACATTGATCTTAATCCATTTTAAATCAATGGAAATGCTATGATGCTTACATTTTAATTAAACTAGAGACGGAAATCAGATTATTTCAGTGCTATGTATACATTTCACATGCTCTGTAGATATATGTGAAAAAAAGCAAGAAAACTAACACCTTAAACTCTGCATGGATTCCCTAATTACTTGGAATAGTATAATCTTGCTTTGATTACTAGTCATGAAAAAAAGACTAGCAAAGGCCATAAAACATGCATTTTTTTAGAAAGAAAATGGCACTTGAAAATTTCTTGGAGCTGGCCAAGGCATTTTCACATCCACAAGGACTATAAAACTTAGTGCATCACAGTTATAAATAATGGAAAAATAGGGAGACCCTTGCTTATTACTGAGTTTTGCAGAAACACATTTGTATATTCTTCCCTTGTAATCACACAGTCCTTTAATTAAAGACAATGAGTGCGCCTACAGAGCAGAATTTATGACAAATTTATAAATATTCTATATAGAAAAGAGAGCTTCACAATCCAGCTTCACTAGATTACCAAACACTCCCTTTACTCATGCATTACTTTGCACATCTCTGAAACATCTGAAAAATACTTTTCTGTGAATTACTATGCTGTAGGGAATGAGCACTTTTAGATACATTACAATCATCTCTAGTAGAATTTGGCATCTTTCTTCCATTAACTGAATGCCTCAGCTGGATCTTAAAAGAAGGCTGCCAATTTTCATCTCTTGAGCCTCTCCGAGGTTTTGAATGCTCTATGTCAGTTTGCCTTTTTAAGTTCTTATCTTTGGAATTCTTCCTCTGTCCATTTAGCAATCTGTCTGGAGGTGAGGGGGTAGCCCGTAACTGATATTCATCTGGAGATCCTTTTTGCCGGTTTGGCTTCATTTGTTCTTTATCCGCCTCTTTCTGAAGTTGTAATGCTAATAACCTGTCCTGTTCTTCCTGTTTACGTCTCTCAAATAGTAGATGCTCCAAATCTATCAGTTTTTGGGTTAAGTTTATTTCTGTTTCCTTTTGATCTGAGGAAGATTTAGGGAACATTTTTCTTCTTTTTGCAGAAAAGCATGGATCCCCAACTGCTTTAAACAGAGATTCCTCGTTTTTTCTTTTGGAAATATCCTTACTGATCTGGTGAGACTCTTCATGTTCTGTCTCAATTGTGCTGTTTGCAATTATTCGTGTCATACCTGATATAGTGCACCCACTCTCTGTTTTGCCACAAGGCTCAACTGTGGCTTCTTCAGAGTAGAAAACTCTGGTTTGAGGTCCCTCATGATTTAAGACACACAACTCTTTATCATGATTGTTTAGTTCTGTTTTGACTTTTCCTTCAAGGCACTGTTCTGCACTATAGGCACATAACCATGGCATAGGTGACTCTATTGAAGACTCTGTAACTTGTTCTTGAATTTCAAGGCATATTTGTGGAGAAAGTGTTGGCATATCTTCTTCAGCTTTTGTGTCTTGCCATGTAGGACTTCTCACATCACTACTGTCCATTTCCTGTAGAAAACAGAAAAAGACTGAGTGAACCAAGGGAAAACATCAAATCATGACATATAATTGAATCATGATAAATACATCTAATTATACTGATACCATAGCTGAACTGTCACTATGCATTATTAAGCTTTACTAATGAGACATAGTAATTCTTTCCTAATAGTATCTTTCTTCTGTATGCCAATTTAGATTAAGCCATTACTTCACTTTCACTCCCACGAAAACCTACAGATTAAAACCCACAAACTAGATTCTATGTGTGGCCAATAGCTGGCATCAAGACCAAATATCCCAGCCCCACAATGCCTCCCCCACCAATCCTCAACTCCAGTATGAGCCAGACTATATGGGCTTGAACCCTCCCTCTATTAACTCTGCTTGAGAGACTTTGCATAAGACTCTTAAATGCTTTGTGCCTCTGTTTTCTTAACTGTAAAATGGATACAAGAAGGATAACTACCTTACAAAGTTAGTGGTTGTGATTAAGATTAAAGAAGATAATACATACATTATGTGGCACATAGTAAATGTTTGCTAAATGTTAGGTACTTTAAAACCACTTAGCTGAATTGAAAAAATGTTAGGAACCTGTGAGTAAAAGATTAAAAAAATTTCTGTGTGGGAAATTGAATTCCCCTTTCTAGTTCTGTCTTCCTAGAAACCTGATATACAGTGTCACCTGTGTTACTAGGCCACATAGCTTACAGTAAAAATGGCCCCTGAATGGTGAACAGCACCTGTACTATTAATAGACTGTAAGTGCTCTATAAACACCCAGTGGGAAGCCAAAGCTTGGGGCTTCTGTAAGTGACATAACTCTTTCGACTGGGTGGGTTCCATACCAGGATCCCTAGAAGCTATAACCATGGGTTGTTACGAGAAATAATTGACTCTTACATGGCATGCAGCTGCTAAGCCAGAGTGATTACCGCATTGGCTTGTGTGGTCTTATTTCTAGGCCATCACTCAGGAGCGCTATGTGAGGACTCCTGCTGAATACACATGGCTGATGCTGTCCAACTAGCATGCTTTGTTTCCCATCTTATAATATTGTAACTGAACAGCTGGTGTCAGGTAGACCCTATTCAGTTTTCTGAGTTTGGTTATCTAGGTCAGGGATCAGTAAACTATGGCCGGTGGATAAAATCCAGCCTGCTGCCTGTTTTTGTAAACTAAGTTGTACTGGAACACAGACAGGATCATGTGTTTACATATTGTCTACAGATGCTTTCACACTACAATGGCATAGCTGAATAGCTGTGACTGAGACTATATTGACCACAAAGCCTAAAATATTTACTATCTGGCCCTGTAGAGAAAAAGTTGGCTGCCCCTAGCCTAGGTGAGCCTGAGATGACTAAGAAAGGGTACTCCATTAACTACAGTGACTTTATTTTGTTTGTTTGTTTACTACGAGATAGCGGACAGATATAGTGATCTAAAAAAAAAATTATAAAACCACAGGTATTATAACTTACAGCATTAATAAGCCTGCTAAACTTCAGCATCAACATACCTTAGATATGGAGTTTTTCCTGACTTCTTGTACAACTTCAGACTGTGATGCTGACCCAAATTGAGATTTAGGTGATAAATACCTTTGAAAAAAGTTTACCAAAGTTTGAATCCTTTGAAAGACAGAGGTACACACCCTATATAATAAAGCCAGAGGAACTGTTTATGCCTAGGGTTGTCTGGTTTGCCACTTGGCTGATTTGTCAGAGTGTATGTATTTCATATTCCTGCCTCAGGTATTTTTTTTTTTTTTTTTTT